TATATATAATATATATATATATATATATATATATATATATATATATATATATACATAAACTAAATGGGAACGATTTGTGTCTCACGTGGACCAAAGCATGAGTTGCAGCACGTGCCACTTGCTTGACTCCGCCCACTGCGGCTCTCCATCTCTGGCTAAACTCGCATCATTTTGGCTCTAAACTCCTCTGACCATCTCAGCGCCTCTATCAGTGGTATTTTAAAGTCAAAATGTTGCACCTCTCCCTCGGCCGTGGTGTTCTTGCCGAGGCGGTTTCCATGAAACTGGGTTACGTAATGTTACACGTTGGGCTGTGTTTATGTTTTGCAGGAAACTGGATGCGAGCTGATAAATAAAGCTGCAATATGAAAAATCGCAGTAATGATCTGCTTATTGAAGACGCTTCTAAAGCAAAATAGAGGGCATAATAAGAGGCAGACTTGGACTGCTGGTGTCTGGAGCGATCGTTTTTGGAAACTCATGATCTCATTTCTGCAGAGGGGGGGGGGGGGTGTCTCGCTCCAAACGTGAGGCTATCTGCGCACTTTAGGAGCGCACACGCACTGGGTGGAAGCAACAGAGAAAAGTGGCGCGGCAGGATGGGATGGACAGATTCATCCAACTCTACTGAAGTTGGTTCGGAAGCTTCTTCACCTCATCCGCCCGGGGTCTAGTTTATTATCCATGAGGCTCTAACGGCGCGCCTTTTCAGATAACCCCATCCCCTAAAAAAAAAAAAAAAAAACACCAAAAGATGACTGTCCTGAAAGACATCCCGGAAAAATGGTTTCCAGTGGTTCTCCCGATCCAGAAAAAGAAAAAGACTGGATTTGGTGGAAAACAATCTAAAAAGAAGCGGACAGGTACGCGTTTAACGTTGCGTTTTTTTGTTGTTGTTGTTTTTGTTTTTTTTTTGTTTTTTTACAATTGCCATCTCATTCCACACAAAAAAAGATCACCAGTCATTTTTTAAGATAAGTTAAGGTTCCATCCCGTCTCCATGAAAACAGATTCAGCTTTTCATTTGTATTCATCCCCACATTACCCATCCACAAAGTGAGAAATGTGTACTGCTTGTCCTATGGAGGGCAAAACTTGCCACAATCCCCCCAGTGTGAATTATTGCACTGTTGGCATTTCACAGTCTGGTTGGTGACATCTTTTAATGGTTTCATGATGAAAAAAAGTCTTTTTGATGTAGTTTTTGCTTTCCTATATTTTTTTTTTTTTTTTTTTGGTTCATTAGTTTTTTATTTTTTTTTTTTTTATTGTTTTTTTTATTTTTTTTTTTTATAACAGTCTTGCCAACACTGGGTTGTGAAAATACCAAGATCTTTTATCATCTGCATTTGTCATTTCTTGCCTTATATTTTAAATCTGATAAAGGAACCTTATTCTAACAATTTTGCTTCGTTTGATATTCAGTAAATGATTTTTAAGGACCATGACAAAAAAAGTTTTAATTGTTGGAATGAGTACCATTAGGCTAAACAACAAGGCATTTACACTGCAGTGCATTTAGTATGTAGTATTGCACATAAAATTTAAAGTGTGTACAACTGACTGCCACCATCGAAAGGTTTAATTGACATAAAGAAACGCGCTCACAGCCACTGAACTTGAACTTCAAATTCATGCAATAAAAAAATAAAACTTATTCAAAATTGTAATTTAATTCCGTCAGATTGTTGAATTTGCATACTGTTACATGCATATCCCCCAAAAGCTTACTTTTTCCTTCAGTGAAAAATCTGGAGCATTGTTAACATAAAAAAATCTTGAGTCTCTTGCCTACATTGGGTGAATTGGAAGGTATGATTAATGTGGGTTTCAGTTCAGCGTAAATAAAGTATTTATAGGCAGTCAATAGAAAAGTTTGGACTTTGCTTCAGGGAATGTTTATAGGTCTGAATAAGTTTGTTTAAAATAAGAGTGAAGATGAAAAAAATGTAAGTTTCAAGACTTCAATCTTTTGTCCAACTCTTTATGATGTTTTTAAGTATTTTTGGCAAACAGAATGCACAATGATTTAAACATTTAAATCACACCTTCTTTTATTTTGTCATTAGGTTTTGTTAGTATAGGATGATCAAATTATATTTGGAAATACAGTTAAACTGACTCAGTCTAGACAGAAGTAACACATTTTTACTTTGAGCAATCATAAAACCAAGAAACCAGCTCCATCATTGCATTGTTGCAGAATTTGGATTAAAGAAAATAAATGTTTTCTCTTTAAAAGTCTGAAAAGTAAGGACAAACAGTTTAAAAAAAAATCCTGAAATATGACAACTTATGTTTAGAGTTTTATTTGCAGAAATCCTGAAATAATTGGTGTGCTTTCCAAGACACAGATCAATCCTACAGGCACCACCCGTGTCTTCATTTCTCAGTGTAATGATCATGGATACTCTAGATAGTCTATCATCATTTTCACCCTGCTCTAGCAGTCTTGTCTTCCACAATATTGTTTTTTTCTACCAATTTGTTTTATGTTTGTGCTTAATTCAAACTGCAGACTGTTAATTTTCTCTAATTAGATCAACCAGGACAAGCACTTTTTCAGAGAGTCTGATCTAATCCTGAGTTTTGACCAGATTTTCCCATAACTCAGATTGGTTTGCTAATGTGGTCATTACTTTTGTAACTTCAAATATTGTGCTTTTCAGAATAGCTGGATTTCAGACAATGACTGTAAAGCAGAAAGGACCCAGAGTGCATCAGAATAGTATTTTTCCATCTAGATAAGTATATTTAGTGCTGCTGAATCAATATGTATTTACTCCCTAATGTCTCTGTTTTTGATGAAATGTTATCCTGCAACTGAAAGTTAACGGTGACGTAACCTTATAGATTGATGCAGTCTCCCTGTGCAGCAAGGTATCCGTGTCAGATCTTCTGATGCCCTTGAACTTGTCAGACACATTAAACACTTACATTGCAGTTTGCTATAGACTCTCATTCAGGCTGAGGTTTTAAGGCTAGCAGAGGGCAGGCCAGAGCAGGATTTAAGGAGCTTGGAAGCCTCACTGCTTATCCGGCAGAGGCATCTTCCTCTGCTCAGTGTTAGCACTGCATTCTAAGCAAATCAACATCATCTAATGACCTTTAAATTCGATCAAAGGGCAGAGGAGAGAATCAGAAAGCAGAGGAGGTGGGGGAGTTTCATTGGAATAGAGGCACCCACACAAGCACAATCTGAAATTGAAAGAACATGAACTGAGAGCTGCTGTGGGGCTGTTCACTTTCAAACTCTGACAAATGGAAAATGTATTCTTCCCCCATTTTTTCTTGAGTAACATTAGTGAGATTAGTGGATCAAAAAGGTCTGATCTCTGTGATCAAACCGATTACAAAGTTCATGTAGGTTGTGCCTTAGTATGTGCTGAACCTAAACCTTCTCTGGGTTTCGATTCAGCTCAAAAATACTTTATAATGCCAAATATTTTACATGGCCAATCAGTTTATAGCTGACTTGGTTGTCATCCCAAATTTTTTCCCCGCTATTTTATTATTATACCACTAGTAATTGACTGAGTTGCAGAGAGCGAACCGTTAATTTTAATGGAATGGAAGGGGATGGGCCATCTGAATTAATTGATTTTGAGGTTTGTCTCAAAACATTTAGCCACGCAGTGTGTTTGCCTGTAGCCAGAAAATGGAGATTTGAGGGTACGCACTCAACAGTGAGTTTTGGGGAACATTCCTTATCGGTTTGAGGTTTAATTTCTGACACTAGAGTTGGACATTTTTTGTCCAGATGGTGTAATTATTATTATTAAGAAACAAAATAAAATCAGTATCACCTGAACATCAGTTTGGTCCCAGATGTACAGTATCTTGAAACATCCATTTTAAGTTTCTTCAGTATAGAAAAAGAAAAGAAATAGAAAAAGATTAACTGTCAAAGAGATGATACAGCCCCCACATGCAGTCCCAGCCTTGATTTTTCGAAGTGTTTTTGGGAATATGTAAAAAGAGTCATTTGAACAGGTCTGCATCCACAGAAGTTCTGTGGTCAGTTCTCAAAGACATTTGGAAGGATCTTCCTGCTCAAGATCCTTAAAACACTTTTAATGTTTAGTTTTCTGAGAAGAACTGATTCCACTGTTGATACAATTATTAATTCAGCTCTCCTTTCTTTAATGTTGCATGAAAGAATTTTCTTTTCATATAGAACAGATATACATGAAATTTTCCTGCTAATTCTCTGCCACAGCACTTCAGTCCTGTAGAAGCAGTGGTCTGTGTTTGTTTGCTAAAGCTCATTACAGTAAAGGTGCAGATGTAGGTTATGGGCTCTACTTGGTGTGAAAGGGCTTCACAGAGCTGCAAAATACACAGGAAACCACAAAGTCTTTGTTCATGTTGTGTGTGCATGTTTATTATGGGGTTAATGGCCTCTGCTGTGCGATGTCCGTTCCTGTAGAGCCACACCAGCTCTCTGTCATTTGTCTAAGGTTTTTTAAGGCCGGCGTTGTTTCGGAGCTACAGTGTTTCCTTCCAATGCATATAACATCACCATTTATTGCTTATCTGTTTAGTGCTGTTGTGTACATTTTTGTTAAAGCATAACTGTGGTTGGAATGTAGCATTGCCATATAAAAGTGTGCCATGAACACTTACGGTACTAAACATTTAAAAAAAACACTAACCTCAGTCAGACAGGCTAAGAGCAACATTTCCTCCATTAGGTTTAGGTCTTGACTTTGACTGGATAATGCTAACACATGAATATGTTTTGCTTTAGAAAAGCAGCATGTGTGAGTATGCTCCTCCAGGGCTGGTGTCTTCCAGTGTCTAGATTTGTTCCTGGCTCTTTTAAAGACGTCATTGTTTGAATCAGAAGATTTTAAGAGAACATTAGGGTGCTGGGTTCTGAGTTGATGGGTTTCTCACCCAAGGTTGGAAATAAGGATGCAAGTTATCGAATAATGAATTAGTCTAAAATTGATTAATTATGTCAATGGACTAACAATTGATTAGGTGGGCATTTCTTAAAACCCTGAGTTCTATTGAATCAAGATAATCTTTCCATAACATGATGGTAAATGTATATGTTTCATTCTTGTTTTTTTTTTGTTTTTTTTTGTTTTTTGTCCAATATACTACGTTAAAATCATCACAACATTATACTTTAGCAATTTGTTTGTACACATTAGGGCTGGGCAATATGCACTTAAAATCTCAACAAGATATTGGGTGATTAAAACAAAGTGATGTTTAAACAAAAACATTACTTCTTTGCAGTCTCTCTCAGATAACTGTATAGCTGTGTCTTCTTACCACAGTAATCTTAGCCTCCCAATCACAAATAATACTCCTGGAGAACGTACACATTTAAAATTGGCTTCTTCAGGAAACGTATTACATAATAAAATGCGATTTATATCACTAAACATTTTCTAGTAATCATATTTAATATTCTACCATTTCTTATGCTCCAATGGAAATAAAAAGAAGGAAATTCCGTTTTTTTTTTTTTCTTTTATTCAGAAATTCCCATTTCAATTTCTGTTGTTTTTAATCATCTTTAAATCTAATTTATCCTTTGGATGAAGAATCAAACTTTTTATCACGATCTGAAATTTATGAGGATAAGGATAAATGCCCACCCCTATTCTACATTACTAAACTTGTACATAAGACTGAAAAGAAAAAATTGTATTCTACAGTCTTGTCGCTATTAAAAAGTGTAAATATCAAATCACACAAATACAACTATTCATATATATATATATATATATATATATATATATATATATATAAATATATATATATATATATATATATAAATATGACATATTAGCTATGACAAAAAGCCTTTAGTTACACACAACATAGATTTACCATTTACTACAATTTGACAAAAAAGCCTTGACAATGACAAAAAATAAATACAAGTTACCATAAAATCAATAGCAAAAGAAAAATCCTTAAAAATACTGACTAACAATAATATACTATATAAATATATAACACTTGTAAAACAATCTTATACAATCTTATAATAATATATTAATATAAAACTTGTGTTTATCATATTAATATGTAATTGCAAAATATATGACTTTGCATATCATTCAATCTCATCCAGTTGAGTTTAGTTTAAATAGTTTTTAACATGAATAAATATGTTTAATCTAAGGTAAAAGTAATTTTAGAAATTGTTTGGTCTTTTAAGGGGTTGTTACATGTAAGAGGTTATTTTAATATCTTTGACTCGCCTTTCACGTGATTAAAATGAGATCTAAGCTGCCTCCTACTGTATTCATTCTGACAGCAGCTGTCTGAACTGTGGTCCGATCCAAGATGGCCGCCCTCTAGGCAAGTTGGCCTGCGTCCAACGAGGTGTCTATGTATATAATGTCTATGGTTCAGACACTCATCTAACATGGGGTAACCAATATAGTGTCCTATATAGGGGTTTAGGGCAGACGTTGGGACACAGCCTCAGACTATGGATCGATTAATGTTTCTGCTGTAGCATCCCTCTGTTCTGGCTTTTCTTCTGTTGCAAAAACCAGTAAGACTCTGCTTAAGAATCAATAGTGGTTCCTTCTGGTGGACAACAGTACCATTACAACACTGGAAGAAATTATCTTTAAATCTGACATGACCAATTAATCAGTTGGAGCAAGTTTTCATCTCATAAACTATTAATACACAAGGTTGAATGTATTTTAGTTACCCGTCATTATAAATTAAGTGGAATGTGTATTGTTTGGTGAAACAGAAAACACTGGGTGCCATCTGTAGGATTTCCATGTTTATGTTTGCAGATGGCCTAAATTTTGAGTTGTTTGATGCTTTTGAATAACCTCTGATATTTGAAATAACTTCTGTCCTTCAAGTCTCATCATCAATTACTTTGTGTTTCTGCAGAGGAGGAGAGAAAGGTCAAAGCCAATGACAGAGAACACAATGAAAAGTTTCAGTATGCGGTGAGAGCATCTGCTGTTTTCTTCTGGATCTGTGCCGAAAAATAGATGGTAACCTTTATAATAATTATTATTTCTGGCTTTTCCTCTCAATACAGAGTAATTGCATTATGACATCAAAGTACAACATCCTCACCTTCCTGCCTGTCAACCTGTTTGAGCAGTTTCAGGAAGTAGCCAACACTTACTTCCTTTTCCTCCTCATCCTCCAGGTAAGTTTAACCGGGGGTAATCATACATCCTGGCATTTCCACAAGGCTTGAATTGCTCAACTGAAAAATGAGGACAATGATAAATGAAAAGCAACCCCATGAGTGACCACCTTTCTTCATATAGTCAGTGTGCCATTAAATTCAATGCCAAAATGATGAGTATTTATATAAATCTACATTACGGATAATAGAAACGTCTGACTAATGCATCTGACTATTTCTTCATAGTTAAAAATATAATTTTTGTATGAAATGTGAAACAGACAGGTTTTCTGAAACAGGAAGTAAAAACTAGTAGTCGGATCTGAAACTTTCAATGAATTTGCATCTGATTGCAGCTGATCACTCAAAATCTATGCATATATGTTCTCTTTTTAATCACTATGCTTTGTATGTAAAACTAGACAGTGATTTCTTAAGGACAATTTTTTATTAAGAAACTTTGTTTTATCTTTATTTTCCCCATCATCTCCTAAACATTCTTTGATTGACTGTATTTGGACAACCCATATCTTGAACTGACCAGTTTCACTGTAAAGCACGTTGCTGGTAGCGTCATGCTTTGGGACACTTACTTCAGCTGGAACAAGAGAGTTGGAGTTACCACCACTCAGCTGAAACATACCTGAAACTGAGGTGGAGGTTTACCTCCCAGCAGGGCATTGATCCTATACATAAAACCAGAGCTGGGATCAGCTGATTTGGCTCCAAAGCATACTGTACATTTTAGAATGATCCACTTAAAGTCCAGACCTCCATTTATTTGAGAATGTGTAACTAGACTTAAAAATAGCTCAATCTCCACTTTAATGGAGCTTGAGCTATCTGGCTGAGCCTGTAGCTTTAATTGCAAATGGTGCTGAATATCAAAGCACACAGCACTTGTCATGATGCTTTAAAGAGATCTGATCCAAATGCAGAGAACCACTCAGAGAACCAGGGAAAACGTTTAACAGGTTTATTGAGGTGAACTACAGAAGTAGGATTCTGGAATTCATAGAGCTGGTGAACCGGAACTGGAAGTGAGAGGGGAAGTTCACAGAGATGAGTTCAGGGTCCGTAGGAATTTTGATTGAGTTCTTGAAAACAGTGAAAGCGGGACTCACGTAGGAGGGGGTTTGTTTCTTGTCCTTGAATCCAGTTGGTGTGGGTTTATCCGAAGAAGGGGGAACTCATTGGAGGGTGGACAGCTTGGTTTTGGTTGGACCCTGAGGAGCAATGGAGCGGACTGCCACTTGGATTTCTGCGGGAACTTGAACGGGTGGAGGTTTTTCCCCTACTCACTGTGAACACAAATAATCCTTCCAGGGGGAGAAGGCCAAACATCCAGTTTGCAGGGAGGCTTTCCAAAACTGACAAACACTCTGGCCCGGGGTAGTGACAGCACACTTCTTATATACTCCTCCAGTAATGAACCAACGAGCCGCAGGTGTGTAGAAGGACCAACGAGGACAGGGCACCACCTGGTGGTGGAGAAAAGGAAACACAAAAACAGACCACACAAACTGGATTCCCGACACTTTTCAGATTTCTATTAGTGAAAACTTTATAAAAACATCAATAATTTTGTTTCTAATTCAAATGATTAAACATATAAATACCCTGTGTTGGTTAATCAAATTAAATCCCAATACTACACTAATAGTTTGACAAAATATGAAAGCATAACAAGGTTATTATACATTTTAAAGCACTTTTGCCCCCTCTATACTGTGCACTACTTGAATGACCTTGTCTTTTCCTGTCTCTGTTAGTTGATACCTCAGATCTCTTCCCTCTCCTGGTTCACTACCATTGTGCCTTTGGCTCTTGTGCTAAGCATCACTGCAGTGAAGGATGCCACAGATGACTATGTGAGCATATGTTCCTCACATCCTGAAGTGAACTACAGTACATAGTAGTCTTTGTATTAACATAACACCTCCATATTCATCCCCTGCAGTTTCGCCACAAGAGCGACAACCAAGTTAACAACCGTCAGTCTCAGGTTCTCATCCGAGGCTCGTAAGTCATTGTAGCTGAAACCCTATGAGCATGTTGTTGTTTTCTTATAAATAAAATTTTTCCATTTTTTTACTGTCAGATTTCTGAATGTGTTTTTCTGATTCTCTGTTGCAGACTGCAGAATGAAAAGTGGATGAACGTTAAAGTGGGCGATATCATTAAACTGGAAAACAACCAGTTTGTGGCAGTAAGTGTGAGAGCGGCAGCGTGATTTTAATTTTCATTCACATACAGCTTTATTAGGAAATATTTGACTTGCTCATCTCTAAAAACATTGCAGTGATATGACTGAAAAATAATTACGATACATGGCCTTTAAAAAAAACCCAACAAAATAAGATATTGTTGAGTTGCTTAAACAACAACAAATGACTAAACTTTCATTTTCAACTGATAGTCTAATTTAATATGCATCTGCAGTATTGTTAAATTCAAATCTTCAGTACATTGTGGGGCAACCTTTACCCTTTAGAACGTCTCGCAAATGTTTTCAATAACTGCTATCAAGTTTCGTACATCTCCCAAATGGACGGTTGGTTTCAAAAGTATAGTTTTGATTATCTGGTGGTTGCTCTCTCTGATCTGATTAGTAACAATGCAAGAAATTAAAAGTTTTTTTGCAAGGGATACATTTTTACATCCCTATCAAGAGTGAAAGAAGCCAAAGCACAGTTAGAAAAAAAAATTTCATCCAAAAGACTTCCAAAAGTCTGCCATGTGATTCAAACTGCTCTTGAAATATTCCAAAAGATTTTATGTTTCTTTCAGTCAAAAGTCAAGGTTATTAGTTCTTGTGTATTTAGTGTTGGTACCAGAAAAATCAAAATAAATCACTTTTCGCAATAAGAAATATCTGGTTGGCCTTCTGGTAAAATACACAGATGTTTGAAAGTGTCACGTTTATCTTTTAGTTATATGCAAGTAGAAGCATGAAAATGACATAATTGAAATGCTGAGAACGTGCACAAGGGTCTTTGTTCCACAACAGAATTTAGTGTCAAAAATGACAAAAATTTTGAACCTTTGAAAATGTTGTCTGAAGCTGATTAGAGGGTCATTATCTACAGTTAAAGGAGTCCTGGACCAACATGGCCTGAAATGTCAATCAGGAAGAAAGATGCAATTGTCAAAACTTAAAAATACAAAAAGGGTTCCTTAAAGTTCGCAAGGGCTTTTGGGTGTACAAACCCATATATGTGGAGACAGGTTCACCACCCCAACTATAAAGTTAGGGGATGCTAACATTATGTTGTGAAGGTGTTTTCCTGCAGGATGGAACCGGGTTACTTTAAGATAAAGACGTCACTGTGCATGTGAATTATGTTGAGGGAACATCTGAAGACCTCAGCCAGGAAGTGAAAGCTTGCACACAAAAAGTTCTGCATTTCAGTAGTGGCCCTGAGCCTACTGCAGAAGGTCATCAGTATAATACTATTTTTTTTTTTTTTTTTTTCAGTTTTTTAATAACAAGGCTCATATTGGCTACAATATTAGGTTAGTAAATCATATTATATTTAAGTTGACATTAGACACAAAATCTGGGTGCCTATAATTTAAAGTATTTTTGTTTATTGGATTAATGTTAACTGCAAACAATGAGTAATTTTGATGAATATTTTCAATGGCTATGATGCCTAAATAAAAGTAATATTTTCTGTAATTTTATTAAGGATCCCCACTAGCTGTTGCTATGGCAAACAGCTAGTCTTCCTGGGGTCCAGATTAAAAACATACAATACAAAGCAGTCACAAAATGCTTTTTCTCAACACATAGTTTAGACGATTAAATAAAACATAAATACTTAAGGGCATCATCTGTCTCAGAATCTTTTAAAAATATTATTTACTATGACTGCAGCAGATGTATTGAGGTGAGGTAGATTATTCGAAAGAGATGGTGTGATGAGAGTCATTAAAAACTTAGATTCTTTTTTTATGTCATTGCAATATTTACCAAAATTTATAGAAACGTAAATATATGATGAGAATGAATATTTCTGTTTGCAGCTTTCCACACAAAAGCAGACAGTCAACACCCGCTTGGCAGACTTCACTTTAATGCAAGGATTATAATTGATGATGAGTTTAGATTATTATTGTTCAAGAAAGCCATTTATAACAAACTAAAGAACAATATTCTTGATGGATTTATTTTGCTTTATCAGCTAAAGGTGTAATAATCATACTTTGTTGTCTCCCCATGTGATTAGCATTGATTACAAGGGTGATTGATGTATACTTTCTCTGTACTCTTAGTGCTTCCCTCAGTCTGGCTGCATGTATCTTACAGTTATTGCTAACATCAGCCGTCTGCTTTCAGGCTGACCTGCTCCTGTTATCGAGTACTGAACCTCACGGCCTGTGTTACATCGAGACAGCCGAGCTTGACGGGTCAGAAATTTTTCTTGCACATCGATATCCACTCATAGCTTCTAATAAACCTCCAGAGGCAATGGAGAAATGCATTTAAAAACGCTGTGTTTGTTTGAACCTACAGAGAAACAAATATGAAGGTGCGCCAGTCTGTGTCAGTGACGGCTGAGCTCGGCGATCCGAACAACCTGGTGTCCTTTGATGGTGAGATGGGTTAAACATGTTTCACCTCCTGCCGGTCTTCTGCTCAGTTCGTCTTTATGATGGTTTTCAGTGAGCAACCAGCTATGTCATTCGAATGTTTTCCTCCTCTCACAATCTGGCACATAGTTAACTGAAACATTCACATCGACACGTTTTGCGTCCTCTGCTGCCGCTGAATGACATCCTATCATCACCCATCCACCCACCCACCAGCAAAAGAGCTCTGAGTCAGCAAAGCACCCCCCCACACACATGCACTGCTCACCTGCTCTCGAAAACCCATCACTGCAGCAGCTCAACCCACACTCTGCCTGATATTATCTTACAGAAGAGGTTTCTCTCTGGGTGTGTTTCTGAGGGTGACAGCTGCATAAAGATGATAAATTAAGCTCAAGATCATGTTGCCTTTGATGTAGATGCTTTGCAATAACTAGATTTGGTAACTCTATGACATGTGGCAGAGGGTTCAGTTTCTTTATCTTAACCACAAATGCTCCTTGTGTGAAGGTGAAGTGGTTTGTGAGCCCCCCAACAACAAACTGGATCGGTTCTGTGGGACTCTGTACTGGCATGACAAGAAATACCCTCTGAGCAACCAGAACATGCTGCTTCGAGGTTGCGTCCTCCGCAACACCGAGGCCTGCTACGGCCTGGTCATCTTTGCAGGTTTGCATGTACACTTTTGTATTTGCCTGATAAATTAATGCATTTGGTGGAGTAAAAGTGTTGGATTCAAATTCTGTTGCTTGCCCAGGTCCTGACACCAAGCTAATGCAGAACAGTGGTCGCACCAAGTTTAAACGTACCAGCATCGACCGCTTGATGAACACATTGGTCCTCTGGGTAAGACACCTCAACCCTCTCACCTTTGTTTCCCCAAACTATTTTAGGATATCATCTAAGGAGCTTTGTTTACATCTGTGCATGCAGTAACACACCCAATTTTAGGTCAAAGACAATAGATTAATTGTCTTTGTGGTGTTTCTTTTTGTATATTCATCTCAGATCTTTGGTTTCCTGGTGTGTATGGGTCTGATCTTGGCTGTGGGCAATGCAGTGTGGGAGCAAGAGGTGGGGTCGTTGTTTCAGAGCTACCTGCCCTGGGACCCTCCTGTGGACAACTTTCTGTTCTCAGCCTTCCTGTCCTTCTGGTCCTACATAATCATTCTTAACACAGTCGTGCCTATTTCGTTATACGTCAGGTAAGGGAAAGTGCAGCATATTACAAAGGTAAATAGGAGTGCATATAAGACACAATACGAAAGTCTGGCATGTGAAGCTATACTCTGACATTACTTCATGCTTACCTGGTAGTATCCTAAGCTTTATAAGTGAAACAATATGTAGAGCTAGCAAATCTCTGGAGTTGAGAGAAGATGATATAAATCTGAGGTCTGACATGCAAATTCCAATCCTGACTAATTAAATTTTTTATGAACTGTAATATATTAAATAAACAAATATCCTGCCAGTTCATTCAGTGAGGCAGTATAAGCAATAATGTAAGGTTATTCGATACAGAAATTTTAAAAGTTGATAAAGCTGGTCATGGAGAGAACAGTGCAAGTTTTTCTAACAGTAGCCGTTCCTGATTGGGCAACACCCTGATTATTCCCCTACCACTCCTCTTACCCAAATTTAAATGGGTTTAAATTGATCTAAAGTGACCCTAAGTTCCAGAAAGCTTTGGAAATATCCTTGTTGTCTAATAAATCTTTCAAATTTATTTTAAAAAAAATGTTTGTTGGGAATAGGCCTATCCAACTTAGGCTTCAATTTCCTAGATATTTGATATGTTTAACTGGAGTGGATTAAGTTATTTGAAAGCAATAAAATCACACATTTACTAAGAAACAAATATAAAGTAGCACATATGAGTTATAACCCACCAGCTATCTACAGTGACATTTTTAGAGGGTTTACTCCATCCAAAAAAAAAAGCAAAACCAAAGCCCATCTACCGTTCTACTTGTATGTTTAGAGGCTAAACATACAAGTAAGAAATAGTAAACATGTGTCTGACGCCCCCCTAGACTTTGCCACCCTGGGTTGTTGACCATATCAAAACCTTCCTCTGTTTTTGAGATCCAAGTTTGGAACATCTAAAAAGAACCCAAATTGACTTTTTTTTTAAGCCAATATTTTTAAACCAATAAGGTTTCATTGTTTTCATGATTTTGAAAGCTGGTTTATCCGGAGTCTGTTGTGCTACTTGCATGCATGAATCTACGTGCTAGCTGTGAACCTGTCCACCTTTTGCGTGTCGACAGACCTACTTAAAGTGTTTTACCGCCACCTACAGGCCTGGAGTTATATGACCAAAATTGCATGCCTCTGTGATTTGAGAATTGTGTTTAGTTAAACTGCGATTATATTGCAATTTCAATTAATTACCCAGCCCTAGTTATAAGGCATAAGAGAAAGTTACAGGAATTCATTATAGATTTGTGCTTCTGACATTTCTGCCTGACTCAACAAATAGCACAAAGAGCTGAGCAGTCATTATGTTTGAAAAAAAATAATGTGTTTAAGTGCATAGAGTGATGAGAATTGGCTTATGTTGATAGTAGCTACCAGAGAAACAATTAAATTCCCCCAGTTTTATCACTCTACAGATTCAAGTTTCTATTTCTTCCAAAGCAAGCTGAATGCAGCCATCCCTGAATATATTTTAGGGAAGGCAAAAATATAAACCATGCAATACATTTCACAATATATATGTCTTTTCCCGCACTGGTTCCTCTGCATTTCAATGTGTTTTTCTGATCTGCCATTGCATTAGTGTGGAGGTGATCAGGTTGGGCCACAGCTACTTCATCAACTGGGACCGGCGGATGTTTTGCTCACAATGCAATACAGCAGCTGAGGCCAGGACCACCACTCTGAATGAAGAGCTAGGACAGGTGGGCTCATCAGAGGACCTTTACTGTTTCATAACTCCTAATCTCTCTGGCTCAATGTTTTGTGAGGCTTGGGAAAGAATTTCAAGCTAACCCAGTTGCAATTGTTCTATCTTGAAGGAGTCCAGGAGTAATAGTGAAATTTTAGTGATGTTTTAATGCATTGTTCACAATTAATGACAGGAAGAAAATTATAATCAGTTATGTGTAGCTCCATTTACAAGAAGTTACAATGTACATGACCCCAATTCAGCCATTGTTCATTTGTATTAAAATATCTAGGGGTGATATTGATATCAGTCTGATATTGGCGAAAGCATAATAATGGATTATATCAGCCTGCACCGAAAATCAACAATATTAGCAAGCAGATAAAAACGCTCCATTTCTGCCTAAACTTTATGTAACCCATTGGTCATTAATGAATGACCAATGGGTTATTTGTTCTTATACCTATTTTTGTTGACTATTTTTCTCTGTTTGAGTAATATTACTTGACATTGAGATCATGCAAACTCCATATGGAGAGAGCTCAGGGATTCAAACCTGGGTCCTTCTTACTACAACACTTTGGTGAAACCATACAGGCCGCATTAAAATAATGATCCTCTTAAAAAAGTCTAAAGGACAATATTCTACATGGATCACAGTTTGTGTCAATTCTGGTAATTCACTTAAACAGAAATTGTTAATAACATTTATCATAACTTTTTAGTAATTTTAGTAATTCTAAAGTCTAGAGAACAGCTTTTAAAAAGCATGCATTAATCCTTGGGGATCTACATATTAGTTAGAGCTAAAGCAGATCCACTTCCTGAACCTTTTTGTCATAAAATCCTTGTTTGTTTGCGACACAATGACATTTTGTAACTTCAACTCATATTTTGTTTTTGTTTCAGGTTGAATACATCTTCAGTGATAAAACTGGAACTCTAACTCAGAACATTATGAGCTTTAATAAGTGCTCAATCTATGGTCAAACTTATGGTAAGAGAGCAAACACAAAAAAAACCATGGAAAAAGTTTCATATCTGTAAACGTTTTCACTATTTTAATCATTCTTATCATTTTTTCTGCCAGGTGAAGTCATGGATACATTAGGAAAAAAGCCAAAGGTAGATTATTATTATTTTTTTATTGTTTTTTTGAAAAGTAAAATGTCTTCTAACATCCATGTATAATTATTTCTCGTTAGAGGCTGGATTTCACTCCTTTTAACCCGCTGGCAGACCCGGATTTTAGATTCTACGACGAAAAGCTGCTGGAGTCGGTGAAAGTGGGGGATTCACACACTCATGAGTTTTTCCGCCTGCTTTCTCTCTGTCACACAGTTATGAGTGAGGAGAAAAGTGAAGGTGAGCAGGAGGAGGGGAAACAATAACAGCAATTATTTCTTCATTATTGCCTTTGTTTTTTTTTTTATTATAAATTATTCATCTGTTTGCCCAGGGGAGCTGGTCTATAAGGCTCAGTCTCCAGATGAGGGCGCTCTTGTGACAGCAGCTCGAAACTTTGGATTTGTGTTTCGCTCTCGAACACCTGGGACGATCACTACAACTGAGATGGGTAGAACCGTCGTCTACTCACTGCTTGCCATACTGGACTTCAACAACATTCGCAAGAGGATGTCTGTCATAGGTGAGCAGGTACACTGTATTTTTAGTAACACATTACATTACTGTCAAGAAGACATTTTATATACTTTATAAAGAGGACTTGTGTTAAAGTAGATCTGCAAACTAAAGAGGCATCATTTTTCTTTTTTGCCTTTGCCTTTTTTTACCAAAACACATGCAACAAAAGGGATTTCTGCTTGAGAAAAACAAAATATTTTATTTTCAGTGGTGTAAAAAAAGGAATGATCCTCTTACTGTTGTTCTTCTGTTGTGTTTTGTTTTTTTCACACACTAAAATGATTTATCCCAGTAAAATGTTCTCAGATAAAGATTTTTCAGGCACTACTGACTTTATTGACAAGTTAACAGACAGGAAATGGGCAGAGAGAGAAATGGGAAAGACCTTTAGAAAAGTATTCAAGGTTGCACCGTATTCTCTGTATATGGAGCCCGATCTTCTGCTACACTACATCACACATCATCACCCCCGCCCATTTCTTCTCTTTTATGCCAGACCAACATAATGTAATTACATACCAAAAAAGAACTATTAAATCTAAATGATTTTATATATTAAAGAAAAATAATTGACCCTTACCCAAGCTGGAAAATGACACATTGATTATCCCTCTGTTAAAACATGCAGAATCCCACTAAGGTGGCCACAAGCAATTATATGGGTATCTGTTGGAAGAGTTGTTTATGTCGTGGTTAATTTAAAATATTTTCCTGGTTTGAATTCAGTGCGTAACCCAGAAGGAAAGATCCGTCTGTACTGTAAAGGAGCTGACACAGTGGTGTTAGAGAGGCTCCACTCCTGCAACCAGGAACTGATAAGCATCACCTCAGACCACCTTAATGTAAGTAAAGGCTTTTGTTTATGAACATAGTAATGGTGCTGCAGTGCCACCTAGTGCCTTCTGACTTAAAGTGAGCTTTTTTGTTTTTATTGAGTCTCACAGTATTAGAAACAGTTAAAAATATGAAGTTTGATGTTCTTTAAGATATTAACATACAAGCAGATGATATGTTGACAAGTTTCTGAATGTTTATTTGTGGGTGTTTCTTTTATTTTTCAGGAGTATGCAGCTGATGGGTTACGGACACTCGCCCTTGCCTACAGGGAGCTCTCTGAGGACGAGTGGGAGGCCTGGTCAGAGAGTCACCGCTGTGCAGATAAGGCCACTGACTGTAGGGAGGACAGGCTGGCTGCAGCATATGACAAGATAGAGCAAGATATGATGGTTGGTCAATTACTCATACGCCCATACATTTCAGTGCAAAACCATGCTTAGAATACACATTTTTGTATGTAACTCAATTTCATACCGTACTTTTTATCTCTGTGTATCTAGCTCCTAGGTGCCACAGCTATAGAGGACAAACTGCAGGAAGGAGTCCAAGAGACTATAGCTCTCCTTTCTCTAGCCAACATCAAAATATGGGTTTTAACTGGAGACAAGCAGGGTGAGATGCACCTACTTTAGACCAGCTTTTAGGTTAATTTGCATAACTGTACTCTGAGAAGAAGCAGATAGAGACTCCAACATTTCATAATGTCTTCAATCTCACCTATTCATTTGTACCTTTGAGCCCTCAGAATATAATATGACGAACTGTGCTTACTGTCCTTTGGCTTAATAAAATACAATACATGAGCCAAAATAATCTGCCACAATTTCAACTGAGTGAGGAAAATATAAAAAGTAAAGGAATGATTGTCACTCACATAGTTAGAATAGAATATAATTGAATATAAAATCCCTTTATTGTCCCACAGTGGGGAAATTCTGGTTTGGTGCAGTAGGAAATATTAAGGGTTTAGTCCATGAAATAATTAAAACTAAAGAAATTGTGCAGTATGTTCTCATCCCCTTCTTTTTCTTTCAAACAGAAACAGCGGTCAACATAGGCTACTCCTGCAAAATGCTGACAGATGACATGACTGAGGTGTTCATCATCAGTGGACACACTGTTCAGAGTGTTCGGCAGGAACTCAGGTCAGTCGTTGTGTAAAAACTTTAAAAAACAGCCGGTTCCTCCTGAAAAAAATGACAGACATTAATATTGGTTTAGTAAAGTTATGTTTTTCTTTTGATTCGCCAGAGGTAGCTCTCCTTTGTTGATCTTAATTTATCTTTGCTTTTGTTTTCCTTCTTGTTTCAGCTGCCATATTTTTGATTATGTTAGTTCAGCTTAGCCTACTTAAGCTTTACCTGGTCTTAGTTTAGTTGAGCTTACTTTAAATTGGCTTGGTTTAGTTTAGGTCAGCTTAGTTTCTTCTAATATAGTGTAGATTAGGTTTTATAAACATAGATGAGCGTAAACTGTTGACCCAGTCTGCATTTGGTGTTTAAATGGCAGGCTTTTCTCTGAATGGGGGCAGACGGCTGCCAAATGGAAGGGTGTATTTGTTTTTTTTTACATCTTAGATATTAGCAATTCTACTGGCTTTAATGTGGGTTTGTGAGTTAAACCCAGGGAATGGGGTTGTCTGTTCTGTCTCAGCTGCTGTTCTGCTGTACCTTCAGTTTATCCAGATATAGTCCATGTGATTCTTGTAAACCTCTACAGGTTGGAGAGGGGAGGATGTGGGTTTAATAAGCACAGAACGATCTTCTTCTTACGGATGTTCGATCTGGAATTTAAATTGGTGTTTATTAAATCATTACTTGGTCGAACATTTCACCCACAGGATGAACTTTTTTTTTTTGTTAAAAAGCTTAATTTTTAGACTTTCACTAATTTTCCATCAAGTGACGAAAGTAGATAAACAAACAAAAAAACAGAGATAAAAAAATATATATATAGAAGATTACAGCATCTTCAAAGTCAGGCTTTTTAATCAAAATCTGACAGGATCTAACCTAACCCATCATCCAATAACTGACATCATTCTATAACATTCTAACAATTAAAAATTTATCCTTTGCTAAATTGTCTGTTATTTCCTACTGTTTAGGAGGGCGAGGGAGAGGATGATTGAGCTGTCGCGTGCTAAAGATGAAGGGACAAAGGGCTGGGCTGAGGCACGCTTCATGGGTAACGGGTTGAAAGATGGGCAAGAAAAAGATGGTAGAACAGGAGAAGGATCGAAACAGCTTAATTCTCCCTGTGGCGACATGGACAACATCTCAGGGGAGTTTGCCCTCATTATCAGTGGCCATAGTTTGGTAAGAAAAACAACCCTAACACAGAGCAAACAGATTAGAAGGAAATAGCGAAGATTTTCATTTTGCATCATTTATTTATTTCCCTAAAACTGCTAATCGCCTTTTTTTTCTGCTCTAACAGGCCCATGCACTGGAAGCAGACATGGAGTCAGAGTTTGTGTTGACGGCGTGTGCATGCAAGGCAGTTATCTGCTGCAGAGTCACACCGCTGCAGAAAGCTCAGGTGGTGGAGCTTATCAAGAAACATAAGAATGCCGTCACTTTGGCTATTGGAGATGGCGCCAACGATGTCAGCATGATCAAAAGTGAGTTGTGCAGAACGGATCAATTTGGAAGGAGTGGGGGAGGTCGTGTAACAGGATTAGCGCAGAGACGGAAATAAGAGAGCAGTCAGGTTCAGTCATGTGACATCCCTGTCCACCTTTAAACAGCGGAAATTCTCAGCAGAAGCTGTTGTAACAGTTGTTTACCTACATGGTGTTACAAGCTTTGACAAAGTGTGTGTTGAAACGTGTGTTGCGTTGGTTCCAATTCCTCCATAAGGTCAGACATTGGTTTCAAACGTCTAGATTAGGTTTAACAATGTTTTGAGGGGTGCTGATGTGAAACGCCCTGTTAAACGTAAAAAACTTTGAAATACATTTTTGAAAAAAAATAAAGGTACTGATGTTTAATCTTGGATGCAATTTGTCTTTTTGATTCCATAGAAGTTAATGGTGAAACAGGTCATGTTCTACTTAACTCAGGATGATTTCTATATATCTTGTGGCTTTCACCACTTGTGTTTTTGTCTGTCTTTATGTGCATGAAATGCATTTATGCAAGCCTAAAGCAGAACTGGAATCAGTGCAATAATGACGGGTGTGGTTTCTTCTCATCCTGTGACTGCTAATGTCAAATTTTCCGAAAAATTTGAACTGATGAGACGAAAAAGTTCAATGAGGCTTTTAATTTGCACTTTGAAGCAGCTGTTCATGCTTTCAGGAAAGAGCAACAAACTCCATGACTTCAGCTAGAATGTATTTTTATCAGTCAAAATTAGGATTCCAATTAGCGGTGTAAGAAAAACTGTATTCTGTCAAATATTGCAGTATTTCATTAGAAAATATTTGTATCGAATAATAATACCAATAGCCTTTTATTTTCATTAGATGATACTGGTATGGATTTAAGCAGAGCAACAACAAGATCTCATGAGGTTCTTCGGAGCTTTGTTATTTAAAAAAATCCCAATATATAGTCTTTGATAATGTATTGGGATAAATAGTATTGTGGCATATGTATAGTAGTGTGTTTTATATCACTAAATTGTTGCCAATTAACACCTCTAATTCAATAGACAATGGTGAATGTTAATCTCTCTAATCCTATAGACAAAAAAAAGCTGGTAGAAATTTGGAAAAGAGAGGCCTGGTTAATCTAGATGCCAGATGACATCTTTTACAAGATTATTTATGATATTCAAAAGGAACATCTCTCGAAATCACAAAACTTTGATTCAAAGTTTGAAAATTGCAACAGGTGCTAAATTCATAGATCTGTTTAAAGGTGTACAAACTCTCATCAGCATGAATACAATTTTAAAGTTGCCCATTTATTAATGTAATAAAAACGTAATGATTGTGTAAAATATAAATTGAATGCAAACATTTTGAAACGTTTAATTTTTCATATACAGATAAATATAACCTATATCTAACAGCTCAAATACATTTTATGTTTTAGATTTTGAACCTTTGGGTTTTCATTTTAATTTTTCTGAAAAATCATAAATATTTAGGCCTGGCAAATATTTTATGTTTTATTGAAAAAGAAAGTTTACAGACAATCTTGATCTTACGAATATTTTTTATAATTCCAGCGTTTTTCAACCCAGTTTTGAAATATATAATGATAAACACAAGTTATTCACTCCTTTTAGTAGATTGAACAGCCTTTACTTAATATATGGCAATAACACTTACCAGGGTTATTTCTTTAGCCATAGTCAGGCTGGTGCAACACCTACAGAACTGGTTCTTGAAAGAAGTATATAAAAGAGATTAGCAGTTATTTCACTCTTGATCGCCTAAATATTAAACACATATGGCCTTCAGTGGGGCCATTATCACATCATATGGGCTTATAATACAAAACACACAGATAACCTCCAGAACTGCCTTATAATACTATGAAAGTCTGAACTTGATTTGAAAAAATACATAAACTAAAATGTTAAAATATGAAAAGAAAATATTTTTGGGACAAGGAGATATTTACATCCTATTTGAACAGATAGAAATAAAAGGGGCTATGAGAGAAAAATATTCAAAGAAGGTCACCTTCAGCCCTGCATACAGGCTCAAACATATGCATACAGCACATTAACAAATTTCTATTAGTAATAACCTGTGGGGAAAAAAATATTTTCTGCCCATTAACAGTATCTGGTATAAGACTAGCTTGATATCTGAGCTCTGCTTCTGGCTTGTCTTGATGCCAAAAAAGAGCCCAACCGATTTTACGTTCACAAGTGGAGCAGTACGGCTATCGCCATAGTGTTCCGCTTGATTTATGCATATAAATAGCTTTATTATAATTCATGCAGAGAGTATTACAGATTATATAGACACTGCAATGTAAGTAGAACAGGGGAGGAAGAAGCGAAAAAAGGAGAAAAGATTAAAGAAAGAGAAGATAAAAGGGAGATTGAGATAAAACATGTTCAGCCTGCTTCATCACCTGTAAAGAGATGTGAAAAGAACAGCACAAACCTCTGCATGATGCACCCAATGGTTAAGAGTTCAAACAAACAGTAAAGAGTTGGGGAAAAAATCACACTAGTTCCTTAAAAAAATTTTCTTACCAAAGTTGCCAAATAATTTTTTTTTTCTCCAACTTCAAAACCATCTGTTTTACATGGCTGCTAATTGAATTCATACTTACAGTAAGGGTGTCTGTTTTGGAGGACCTTATTATTTCAGAGCGTTAATTTTGTAAGATTTAATAGAAGGAAATATTGAATATAGATAAATATAGAATTTGAATTTCATCTCTTTCATCTTTTTTTCTACAGGTGCTCATATTGGAGTTGGTATCTCGGGCCAGGAGGGGATCCAGGCGGTGTTAGCCAGCGACTACTCTTTCGCCCAGTTCCGCTTCCTGCAGCGCCTCCTGCTGGTCCACGGGCGCTGGTCCTACCTGCGCATGTGCCGTTTCCTCTGCTACTTCTTCTACAAGAACTTTGCCTTTACCATGGTGCACTTCTGGTTCGGCTTCTTCTGTGGATTCTCAGCCCAGGTTGGAGCAGAACATCAAGTAGAGAATGATGGTTGCTGAGAGGGGATGAGCACGCACAGATGTTTCCTAATGTGTGTTTGTCTGCTGTCCTCTTCTGCTGCAGACGGTGTATGATCAGTACTTCATCACACTCTACAACATTGTGTACACCTCCCTCCCCGTGCTGGCCATGGGGGTTTTTGACCAGGTCTTTTTCATTATTATTTTGCATTCTGACACTTAACACACAATTTCATCATTATGTGGGTTAGGGACAAACTAGCACAGATTTTTCCACATAAACCGTTATTTAATTTTTTAATGTTCCCACAAATTATTGTCTCCCATCGTGAGTAATTTTGTTCCGCTTTAGCTCAATAGTTGCTTATGTTTGCAGTAAGCTGAAAACCACCAAGCCATTGATTCTGCCGTTGACTTGTCCAAAGTCTTATTTTTAGCAAATAACATCTCTCATTTCCTCTTTTTATGCCAGGATGTTCCAGATCACAGAAGTCTGGAGTATCCGAAGTTGTATGAGCCCGGGCAGCTCAACCTCCTATTTAACAAGAAGGAGTTTTTCATCTGCATCGCCCAGGGCATCTACACTTCAGTGGTGCTTTTTTTCGTGCCCTACGCCGTTCTGTCCAATGCCACACAGATCAACGGCGTGCCCCTCGCCGACTACCAGACATTTGCAGTCACGACGGCGACAGCCCTTGTTATTGTTGTCAGTGTGCAGGTGAGAGAGTTTTTACCAGAGTTTGCTTCTTTAAAGTTTTGCAAATTTCCTGATGTTAATTAATCATCCTTTATTTGCAGATTGCTCTAGATACAGGCTTCTGGACCATTTTTAACCACATGTTCGTTTGGGGCTCTGTGGGTTCCTATTTCACCATCATGTTCGCGCTGCACAGTCAGACACTCTTCAGGATCTTTCCCAACCAGTTCCACTTCGTAGGTTGGTCCCCTGCTTCTGTCTTTACCCCCCAGCTTAGGAAACTCTGTAAAAATATTCACACCCTTTAAATTTTTACACATTCCGTCACAGAACAGCCACAAACGTCAGTGTCTTTAATTTTGTTTTTTGTGTCATAGACCACATCAAAAGTAGTTTATCTAAGTGGGTCTGAAATAAAATGAGAAAATAGTCCAGGTAAACTCAGATTGGAAAGAGAAAATCTGTGAAAATCCATTTAAAGTTTAGGTTTAGGTCTAGTGGTTGAGCCATTCTAAATCAGGCGTATTCTTAACTATGTTAACTGATGATAATTATGTTTAGGGTAGAGATTCACCAATCCAGCTTTTTTCCAGTCCAATACGATACCAATACCTGGACTGAGCATATCTGCCAATTCATCTGTTGAACTAATGAACCATATATCTTGCCATGTGAGTGAAGGCTTTAGCATTGGTGTATTGTAGATATTGTAAAAAAAAAAAAAGTAACAAATTATTACAGATATAAATGTTTGACTATATTATGTATTAAGAAATAAGGAGCAATAAGAAAACAACAGCTCCATGTAAAGTGGACTGGAATGAATATCAGTTATCAAATCACCGATATCTGATCCAGCTAATTAATCTATATAGGAGCCGATATCCGATCCAGGTATCGGATCGGTGCATCCTTAGGGTTGTGGTCCTGGTCTATAGCAGCCTGTAACACATTTTGTTCCAAGATTGTCCTGTAGTTAGCTCCATCCATCTTCCCATCAATCTCTTATCACCTTTAAATCTCTCACTGAGTAAAAATATTTGCACACAATGCTTAATACCTGGGGATAGAGATTTATGTCTCATCTGGTCTCTTTGTGCTGGGTCCATTGCATGGCTTTGGGTTAACTGAAAACAGGATTTATTACGGCCTTCTTTCATAAAGGTCAGATCTGAAAAAATACACAATAATAGGGCTGGGCAATGTGGCTTAAAAATCTAATATCAGATTTTTCTTCCTAACAAAGCCAATCAATTGATTTTTTTTTTCTTCCTTTAACATTCATAATAAAAAAAACACATTATTTTTTTTTTAAAAACTACCTTTTTGTTTCAATCATCCACTTTTGGGGATGACCTTAACTTAAAGGGTTTTGAAATTCAAGCTGTGAAACAATCTTGTAAAACGATGTTTCACAACAAAAGAAAGGAAATATATCAAGTTAAATGATAGCAGCAGGTGGTGTTACACAGTCAGCTAGTTTATCAGTAATGAGTGCACCTCTAAGAACAAAAGCTGCTGAACTGATGTCAATCTGAGCTATGAAAGTCCATTATGTGCATAGATAAAGAAAAAACTTTATTTATTTTTTTTTTCAAAAATTAAATCTTTATAACCAGAAAATATAATTGATTGATTGATTGGCCTAATTAATAGTTGTCCTTTCAACAGATTCTTCCACCTATGGGTCCCCCAGCTCATTCAGACTAACCATAGATTTTTGCTTCTAGTAATGCTCTGCTTGGTTTCCCCTTTTTTGATTATAGCTGAGCAGTGCTCTATGAGATATGAGCTAATTATGCTTTGAACTTCTCTCGAAGCTGTCTGCTGTGTTTATTGGTCTTCATTAGTTTTCTTCACTGTCATCTTAAAAGCTGGCTGCCTGTTTCCTGGATGGGGCCGCCTGTGGAGCTGGTTGAGAGTTACCTTTTGTATTTCTGCTTCTTTCTGCATGCCTGCTTCTGTCTCCTTGAACCCCAGTCAGCCTCGGCAGATGGCCGCTCACACTGAGCCTGGTTCTGCTCGATGCAATCATCTGGTTTTCCTTAGATAGAAAACTTTGAACTTCTCTGACTGTATGATCTGGTTTAACTGTCTCTGTAAAGTGCATTGAGATGACATGTTGTGAATTGGTGCTATATAATTAAACTGAACTGAATTTAATTTAGTTAAAAAATGTCTGAGGCCTTCACAAAACAGCTGCCTTTATACAACGATGTGGACCCACACCCTATTGACCTCAGTGAAGGGAAGTAAAGTTGATTGAAGGTAGTTTTTTTTTCTCTTCCCTCGGTTTCATTAGGACTTTAAAACAAAGCAGTATAAAAAATGAGAACATCATGAAGAGTTCTCTTATTTTACACAAGAAAATCTTATCTATTAATGGACAGGAGATGAAAAAAGGGGAAGAAAAAAGGCTGTAAGATATAACCTGAATTCAAAAGTTAAAAGATATGGTTGTTTAGAATTTTGAATACAAACCAAACACTGTCTTTTCTGTAAAGAAATTACAAAAATCTAGGTCAATTTGCATTAATGAAAATCAATTGTTGGGTGTACACAACAAAGGAAGTGCAAATTCAAATAATTATCCTAAAAAACACATAAGCAGCAGTCAGCTTATTGGGGTGCCTGCGAGTGCATGTTGTCTTTACTAGTATTTAAAAGTCTGTGCAATTGGAGCCAGATTTTAATTTATTACAGCCAATGCATATAATTTTCCAATATACACCAGACAGGTTGGCACATGGCACCACTTTCTTTTGGTTTATCACAGAGAATCCCAATGAAATACACTGATGCTTGTAGTTGTTACTTTCCAAAATGCATTTGTAAAGCACTCTAATTAAACAGCTACTTGTTTTCCTCTCAGGAGAAATTACTATTTATGTTTTTTGGATATGCATCATCTAATACGTGTTAAATTGTGTCTTTATATATGGTGTTTATTCATAAAACAGCACCACTTAGGATTTTAAGAAATACATTTCCTGAAGAATCATTCCCACTAGTGATTTTATTGAACATGCACTAAATTTGAAAGATGCATGCTCATATTTGTCTCTGTACATTTTTTTTTCTAAATGCAGGTAGTGCGCAGAACACACTATTGCAGCCAGTTGTGTGGTTAACTATTGCACTAGCAACTGCAATATGCGTAGTTCCAGTTTTGGCATTCCGCTTCCTCAAGCTGGACCTCAAGCCTCAGCTGTCAGACACGGTAAGAAAGCATAAAATGTCCAAAATTGTTTATATCCACATTACAGGATGTGCTATTGTCCTCCCAGAATGTTAGTTTGAAAGCGGGTAAAGGCAATTATTAATTCCGCTGGTTAAAAAAAACATTCATGCACTCTGAATTATTGACTTAAACAGTATCTATTAATGATGACTTAAAGCTGAGTCTGAGGTGGCGTCAGTCGGCCAAGCAAAACCACTTTTCAAGGTGATGAGAAGAAGTTCCTCTTTAATTTAAAATCTAGTTTCTGTGCAGGGGACAAAGTTTGTAGTTTCGCTGAGATAATGACTAATACTTCTAAATCCAGAGTTCAGCATGTGGATTCCCCACTGAATAAAACTGGAACTGAAAGCAAAACCAAAGACCAGCACAGAAAATTTATGAAATACTCTATATTAAACACCACATATTTTAAGTTTGATGATATGGTATATGTCACAACAATTAAAAGACATGTTAATCTTCCATTTCTAGGTGCGTTATACTCAATTGGTGAGGCAGAAAAGGCGTAAACCTGGAGGTCGCAGCATGGGAGGAGCCTGGCGTGGCACAGGCAGCGTCTCTGAGGGCCGCCTCGGTGCCCGAGGTGGTTCAAGGAGGTCAGGCTATGCCTTCTCCCACCAGGAAGGCTTTGGAGAGCTGATCACCTCTGGAAAAAACATGAGGCTTTCCTCCTTGGCCTTAGCCAATTTTGCCTCCAAACACAGCTCTAGCTGGATCGAAACACTTCGGAGGAAGAAGAATACTCACACTCCGCCAAACACCTCTGGGGAGTGCAGCCCAGCACCCAGTAACATGTCTGGGACGGGTCCAGCTCTATCAAACTCTTCCTCTGTTTTGGGGGGCTCACAAGAAACGTCAATCGAGGAGGAAAGCAACACAGCAGTTGAGCTGTCTTCATCATCACATCCAGCGACCTTGGAAGTGAATGAATCCAAGGCCTCTGCTCCCGACAGCTCTACTTCTGCTGCAGCAACAACAGACTCATCCGGAGGCTGGACTCTCTCTCTAGAGACTGTGCAGGTCAGCTACTACTTTCTTTTTCTTGTACATGAACATGGAAAAAAGAACTATTTGTTTTTGAACACCTACATACATTTACTCTTATGTCCTTTCCCTTCTCCATAGGAGACTCCTTTTGATCAAAGGGGCTTTGCCAGGGCCTCCTACAGCTCAGACCCGCCGTGTGATGCCAGAGAACTCCCCCACCCCCACACTAAATAAAACTCATGCATAAATAGTTGCATGGTGTTTTTTTTTCTGGATCCATGCAATGACTGATAGATATAGAAACATAACCACAGAGTTCTTGTCTCAAAATATCACACAAGAGGAAGCGACTTATTCTAATGATCTTGACCTTCCCATCAGTAATTCTGTGATTTTTATAATAAAATTTGAAATGTTTAATATGTTCCAGAAGCAGATGGTGGTAAACCAAGCTATTAATCACGTTTCTCGGACATTTTGCACATGCTTTACATTTAAAGATGACTCGCTGAATGAATGAGAGACAGAAAAGGTGCTGGCATTACAATCGATGAAAGCCTTCTCTGTTCAAAAATGTGTTCTTAATAGTTCTCAGTGAGAACGGTATTTCTTTTAGACAAAAGTCTGTTTTAACATTTGTTATTTTTTCATACTGAGCTGCTGTCTTACTAATTTGTACCTATTTTTTTGCATCATATTGATGTGTTATAAAGGCCTGGTTGAGTTGCACCTTCAAATAAGCATTTAGTGCTTTTGATTTTACAGTTAGGCCTTGGTTTTGATAAAGGCTCCTTCTTTTCTTCTTTTGATGTCCCTCTTTAAATAGCTGAATGAATAAGGCAAACTTACTGTTTACTTTAGGTCAGACCTGGGCAGAGTGCAAAGAGGCTGTGTGGAGGTGCAAGAATAGATGAAGTCGTTTTAACTTTCTTCCAACTTTCTGTTGTAAATATACAGTCTTGTGAATTTTTTTTTCTTGTTTTTACTTATAAATAAAAAATTATAAAAAGTTTATGGATAGTCTTGTCTATTTTCCTTCCCTTTTTGACTGGTCAAAATTAGTAACTTTTGTAGCACTGACCCCTGAACTACTTTAGGTTTGGTTCATTTTAAAGCAGATTTAAAAGAGGAACCAGCAGTGAATTGCAAAAGTCAGATTTATCCCTCAATTCTCAATTAGGGTTTCAGTGTGGACAGGCATTTTGATACACAGATGTTTTTCAAATTCACTTTATTTTATCTACGGCTTCAAAGTTAGGATGGTTTTAATGATGGAAGAGGAATTTTCTCCCCAAATGTAATTCTTTTGCATCTTCTAACAGGATTTCTTCCAGGATTTCATCTAATTTAGCTCTATCTGTGCTTACATCAGCTCTGACTAGCTCTCATTATGAAGAAAAAAAATATCCTCACAGCATGATGTTCCACTAACATGTTTTATTGCCAGAATAAGATTCAGCCTAAACATCCCAAGTTCATGTCTACAAACAAGATATTAGTCATTTTGAGCATCAATGGTCCAAACAACTCCTTATATTGAAGAATGCTTTAAATGGCTTAAAAAGACAAGGGAAAAATATCAGGTTAATATTGGTATGGTGAGGCATGATTGTGAAGCACTTTTTTTTTTAAATGAACAAAAGAAAGGCTGTTTTTTTTGGGCCCTGATTAAGGGAAGGTCGCAGCGATGATCCTAACTGGAGACCTTATTGTTATATTTCCATCCAGACCTGCTTAGTTGATGAGCCAAAGCACACAGATGACCAGCATCTCCTATAGAAGGTCGTACTCCCTGACTTGCAGCAGGATGTGTGAGGTTCATCCCAGTTTGAGAAAAAAGGGTGGTTCTTAGGTGATCCACAGTCAGCATAGTATTTTTTTTGGATGGTGACCGTGGGCACTGCTTTGGTGTTCTCAGCAACTCTGTCCCCATCTCCACCATTTTTTAGGGGTTAAGTTCCATGTTTTTATGAGCACCTCAGACGTACCAATCTTATTTAGTGTTATGCTGGTGTGTTACCTAGATACTTTTTTGGATACGGAGCAAAATCATTCATTTTGGCCTTATCGCATCAAAAAGACTTTGTTCTAGATGTCTGCTGTTTCCCGAATGACTTGCAAAGTAGACATCTTGGCTTTCTTTTAACAATTACTATCTTCTTGACACTTCTGCACAAAGGCCAAATAACATGGTAAATTTTTTAGACTCCTTGGAAACAAAACTTAAAATTCTGCATTACTGTGTCAATCTCTTATAATCTGACAAACAAACAGTGTCTATAGTGGTAATGAAAAAAAAATTGGTTATGCAAAATCTTTTCCAATTAATTATTGGTTGATCATTTATTAATGACACAAAGTAGTGTTTTTCTGTTGTTGTTGGGATAATATCAAAGTGCACCTGTTTAGTAATGCTTAGAGAGAAAAAAAAACAGATTTTAACCATGTAAATCTGTTTTCGTCTGGACGTGAGAGAAGACGGCAGTGATGGCAACACAGTCGTAACCACTAAACAGACGAGACGACAGACAACTAGAGACGTCAATACCTTTAGGTTGAACCATAAAAACATGCATGTGATACTTATTTCTGTTTATTAGGTTGTATACATGATATACAGAATTAATGAAGAAAGAAGATGAATAAATGACCTGTACCCATCTTTGGAAGAAAGATATGAATTATTCCAGAACTATATGAGTCATTATGTGACTTGAGTGTTTTATGTACAATGTCTAAAAAATAGCAAAACTGAACATTAGCGGGGGTTAATATACATTTTAAAACTATACAAGAATCTTGAGTCTGATAAGAAGCAAAACCAATACAGAGTTCTCTGATAAGAAAAACACTATACAGTATTAGACCTGAATTCAGCTTTCGGGGGTGTTATTTTGTCACTGTGGAGGATTTCCTCTGTGCAACGGCACTGAACAGGGGGAAGAGCGCTGGGATTTCACAATAACGGGTCTTACGGACAGCACACTACTGCGTCCAGGCAGGCTCGGCTTTAATAATCCTGTCTGTACTGGAAAGCAGTCAGTTTCTTCTCAGGCTTCATGAAGCCCAATGTTACCCGGTGTCCTGCAGCTGTAGTGTAGCTGTCGGAGATGGTGTGAGGACTTGAGGACCACTTTCAAAAATGGGTAATTTGCTCCGGCTTTTGGGCTTTCTGTGCATCATGCCAGTTAGTGGTAATTTTGACGGCATCTGTCCAAGAAAAGGTGAGTCCTCACTAAATAAATTCAATGTATTGAGGATTTTTATTAAGTTATTTTCTAAAGAAAATGTTCATATGTTGAGATTTGGTATGTTATAAATTCATTATTGTTGCCTACATAATCTTTAGATATATAAGTAATAAAACAGCCCCTTTAATGTGGATTTTGTGGATGTTCTATGAACTTTACTAATAATATGGAGTCGATCTAGCAGATGTTTAGTGTTTTATTAATGTTATATTTAATCATCCCTGTTGTATTCATTGAGCTGGCCAGTCCAACAAGCTTATTGCATCATTTATTTTTATTTATATTTAATTGAAAAAAATTTGATATTTCGGTTTTCCAGTTTCTTTGTCTTTGATCTAACCCAAAATAGTTTTAGAAAAAAAGACAATTACAGGTCATTTTTTATCTCTCAGTATAGTGAGCAGGTGCACCAGATGCATGAAGCAGCTCTAAAAAAGAAAAACCTCACAAATCTTTCAAATAATACATAAAGTTAGAAATAAAACTATTTCACAAACATTATTTTCTTCAGTATGTTGCTCTTTACATATGTTACCTGAAGAAAAATGCACAAAAAAAGAAGATAACATGGGTGGTCTAATATTTGTTTCCAAGACTTTATATATGTTTTAGTTTTCAGCTAAATCAAAGTATCTAGGTTAGAGGAACTACTGATGTTCATAAGTGAGATGATATGGAGAACATGAAGTTCTAGACGGAAGAGCGACTATGTAGACAAAATGCAGATTAAAAGAGGAAGTTTTAAAAGAGTTGGTGATTTTTGTTATGCAACGCTGCATCCTATCTGTGCTGTGCTTACTGATCTGAGAACGACACTTTGTACCTTAAGATCTTTTAAAGATACAGTGTTCACATACAATATTGTACTAACAACTTGATCCTGAACATGGAGAAGATGAAGGAGATCAACGTTGACTTCAGGAAGAACCACGCTCCACTGCTCATCAACAGCTCAGCAGTAGAGATGGTCAGCAGCACCAAATTCCTGGGGTTGCACATCACAGACAACCTCACCTGGACTGTAAACACTGGTAAAAAGGGCACAAAAGTGCACGTTCTTCCTGCGGAGTATGAGAAGAGCCCACCTGCCCTCATCCATTCTCACAACCTTGTACAGAAGCACCATAGAGAGCGTTCTGACCAGCTGTCTCACTGTGTGGTGTGGAGGCTGCAACGCCTCAGTCTGGAAGAACATGAGAAGAGTAGTTAGAACAGCAGAGAGGATCATCTGGGCACCTCTTCCCTCCATAAAAGACATTTCATCACAGCGCTGCGTGTGCCGAGCCCATAACATCATAAATGACCCCTCACACCCCCACCATGGACTATTCTCTCTGCTGCCCTGTGGGAAGAGACTTTGCAGCATTCAAAGCAGGTCCAGCAGATTCTGAAACAGCTTCCTCCCCACTGCCATTAGACTACTGAACTGTGACATTTCACTGTTAAGCTGCTGCTCATTTATTGTCTGAAAACTGTACAAAAAAAATTGTGTTGTATACACTATGTGTATACAAAATTCAATACAAGTTGTCTAAGTCTAAGTAACAAACGCAGCCAGCGTCCACTCTGGTTTGTAATTTGGCAACAAATGATTATTTTTCTGTGTTTGTGTATGACTGCAGAGCCTCCCCCTGGGGTGCTGGTGGTACCTCCAGGAAGCAGCCTGGAGCTGAACTGCGATGGACATGTGAGGGTGAATGGAGATAAAGTCAGCCTATCAAGAAAAGTCTTAAGCACAAACAAGAGAAGATCTCCATCAGAAAGAACCCCGATCACGCTGCAAGTTAGAAGAAACACGATTTCTCCGAATAGAAGCAAGAAAACTTCTGCAGAAAGTGTGCAGTATCACTCTACAACCACAGCAGCTGGAGTCAACACTGTGCAAGGAGAAAACCAAAGCAATGAATATTCAAACAAGGAACGCTTCACTTCTCCACAAGTGGTCCAACCAACCCCTCTGAGCATGACTACAATATTGAGGGGAGAGTCCAAGTGGGAAGAAAACAAGAAGAAACCTGAGGATGAATATAGAGATAAGGACTGGGGAGAAAGCAGCAGGGTTACAAGAGGGGCTAAAATAAGGCCTCAGTGGAGGTGGAATAAACAGCTGGTGCAGAGAGCAGACAGAGACTGGGGAGAAATGGAATTTCTGAATGGCGGTAGCAGTCTGTCTCTGAGTTCAGTCAGACAGACGGACGCTGGAAAATACACATGTCATCAGAGGGGAGAAGAAACGCTCGCTGTTACAGTGATTGTTGCAGGTAAGTTATTGCACTTTTTGAAGAGATTTGTAAGCAGCTATGAACTCCCACAGACCAGTTTAATCAAACTTGACAGTATTGGCTACGTTGGAAGTGTTGGAAAATCAATATAACAGGTAAATCCTTCCTTACCGGGGAGTTATCTTACTGTCTATTGTTTTTAAATGAATAAAGACAAAAAAAATTTATTTAATTTTAATGCAATCAGTTACATGTAGTACATGATTAAGGTCTGTTCTTAAATTATTCCTCTAGTAACTCAACCAAAGGAAACATAAAACTAACAAACATAAAAAAATTAATGGTAAATAAATGTAAATTCAAAACATTCAAAACACGACTAATCAAGCTAATTAAATGTTAACTTTAAACCTTATGTTTGTCTTTTTTCTAGAATTTGAAAAAAGGGTTTGCAATCTTATTTTGCTGATAAACTGATAGATTTTCAAATTGATAGTTATGCACAATGAAGTTGCAGATGAACTAAAATGGAGCATTGATTGGTCTGTCTACAGCCTCCATAATAGAACTACCTAGACTCTAATTCTTCCTGGTCAGATATAGATTGTTGTGTCATCTCTCTCTCCCTGCACATAGTTAGGATCTCCAAAGAGGCATCTTCAACAATCATGTAACTCAGATCAGCTCTAAAGGACAACTTCAGTCTAGAGCTTCAGCCTTCAGGTAGGGTTGTGGAAGGGAAATAGTGGCTGGCTGCAGTTTGGATCACTATGGTGCTAAATAAGAAGAAGAAAACACTTGATAAAGAAAAATTAAACGCAGAAATAACAGAACTTAAAGAAGAAAATAAAAGAAAATTAAACAATACAAGGGAGAGTCTTGTCTTCTGCTCTTCCTAAACTGGCAGCATATCAACTAATCAGAGAAACTGGGATATATGTGGCTGTGAAACACCGCACGGCCAGTGGGATATATAGAATATGTTTTTTTTTCTTTGACATGTATCCAAGTCATTCCCACAAATGTGATCAAAAAACTTTCACCATATACATTCATAGTTTAACTTGTGTACATGTTACAGCGCCATATTTAAAAAGAGCACCATTAAGCAGGTGCTTTTCATTAGCCCACCCTTCTGTATTAATTCTTTATTTTTTTTTATATATATATATTATTTTTTTGTTTTTTGTTTTTTTTTTTTTGAGTCAGGCATTATATCTACATGGATATCTGTCTAAAATATTAACAAACAATCATTATTTTATATTGATGTAGTGTTGTTACAGGCAGTGATCTGTCTTTAAATGCGCTATATGGCTCCCTACCCAGGGCACCCTGACATGTGGCAAGAATCGCCTCTCAAATAAAAAATATTCTTAGAGTTAATTCTTAGAGCTAATGTATAAGAACCCAGAAAGGTCAAGCAACACAGATTTCAACCTATTCCCACCACCAAGTTCAACTGGACCTCATATTTATTTTCTACTGCTTTGATTATTATTTCATTAGAAGCTATGCAAGAACTTTCACGTGGACAGAAATCTGAATAACAAAACCAAAAGTGCACCTTCACTCATCCTTTCTCTTTACATTTATGCTGGCAAAAGCACTGCTGTACAAATTTATTGCAGGTAGTTTGGACCCAATAATTCAATTGGTTTTGTTTCTAGAAAATTATTCATCACAGCAGGAGAGACATGTCCCTACCCCCAAAAACTGAATCCTCTCCATGCCTGATAAAATATCTCTATATCTTAGATCCCCCTGAGACTCCCACTATGCTTTGCTACATGAAATCACCTTGGAGTAAAATTCGCTGTGAATCGAAGCCTTTGAACTCAATGATCAAGTATACTCCTGACTGCTCTCTCTTCCTGAGCACAAGGTAAGAATGTGAAATACAGTACACAATAAGTCTAAAAATCTGTTTTATTTTGAATAGGACAATGACACATATTCTATAGGAATACCATACTAGGCTTACCATGTTCCAAATCAGCAGAGGTGTTTTTGACTAATGAGCACCAGGCGCAGCCTAAAGAAACCCAGAAATCCTAACTTGATTTTATTTACATTTTTTTGAATTAGTGGAAATAAAGAGAAATTCTGTCAACCTATTTAGATATAGAAATATTTGAGAGTGTCAAACTATTGTTTCACAATACCTAATATCTTATTAAAGATTTAAGAAACAAGCTTTGCAGTACACAAACAAGGCTCAAGGCTGAGACATATTGACTGATACCTTTGTACCCTCAGGCAACTCTGTTGGTTATAAATCTAAAGTTCCCACAAGTACATCTAAAAAGAAAATAATAACATGAAACATTTCCACATAACTGTCAAGAATTTCCAAATGAAAGCTCATATTGTATGGATTTATTACACTTAAAGTAAAATGTGTTTCTAAATCTTGATAACTATGGTTTACAAACAGGAAAACAAAGTTCAATTTGACCAATAAAAAGTTAATATTAAATAGAAATCTCTTGTTTGTAAAACATGTTTATTTCTATGCATTCAATACTCAGTTGTATGAGTTGCTGCATCAATGCTGGGTGGCATGGCAATGACTGACCTGTGCTGCAGCAGATATGAAATAGAAGCCCAGGTTGAATTAGATCACCTGCCATGTTAGGTTGCTATCTGCCATTTTCCTCTTGGCCGTTTTTAACCGATTCTCTGTGAAGTTCAGGTCAGGAGAGTTTGCAGGCCAGTAAACTGAGTAAAACCATAGGGTTATAGAAAATAAAATCAGCATACAGTTTTTTAACAGAAGAAAGCATTAAGCTCTCATGGTTCCTGGTAGGTTGCATTGAGTGTGGACTTAAACCCCAGTTTTATGACATTGTACACTATAAATAACTTACTGAGAAACAAATATAGGTTTTCTAGCAGAAGAAACTCTGTGCCTATCCTCTTGTTCCTCAGACTCTTGCACCTTGATTGCCAAAGAAAAAGAAAAGCTCAAAAGAAAGACCCCGGGCTAGGAATCAAACCCAGAACCTTGTTGCTGCAAGGCAGCAGTGCTACCCACTGCTTCACTGGGCAGCCCCTATTTCAATTCACTTTATTTATTTATTTTATATAGCGCCATTTCACAACAGATGTCATCTAGAGGCACTTTACAATTCAATCTGATCATACAG